ATTCTTGCTCACATCGTTGGAGGGGTAATAGCCCCATACATAGATCCCAGACGAGCACACGAGCACAATGATGACCAAGGCAAGGCAAGAAGTGAGTGAGCCAACGAATAGAGACACGGCTGCCAACACACATACCTACAGACATAGGCACACACACTTAAATATTTATACTATATATCTATATATGCACATATGTACATATGTACGTGTGAGCCGATCACACGATCTCACGCCTTGCGCTCACTTTTCAACTGTACTTCGTTGCCATTCGGACGAGGAGCAGCCACAGCCAACGGGCTATATTTAGACAGAACTGCAAATGGCGGCTCGCACCCATACACATGCAGACATCTACCTATGAACTAGGTGTGCCAGGGTGTGTGTGATTTTTTGCGCATGCGCCTTTTGCCTTTTACACCCCGCCAATGTGAGCTGATCGCCACTGCTCAGCCGAGTGTGTATGTACAGACTCGTAGGTGTGTGTGTGTGTGTGTGTGTGTGTGTGTGTGTGTGTGTGTGTGCTTGTTCGCCGCCATCTTGTGTGCGTATGCGAACGCTCGTGACTTTTGTAGTCTTTTTCTTTAGCAGCCGATTCTTCAATAGATATATATATTGAGATACATAAACTTGTATATATAATTGTAGATAGAAAGGTACACATTCTTTTTTTCACACATTTGTTTTATAAATAAGAAGGATAATTTTATAGATTTCTATTTGATGCTTTGAAAACAAACAAACAAACGAACGAACGAAAAAAAAAACAGTTTCAAAAATATCCATAACTATATTTAACATTTGTTTTTGTTTTATATTTAACTTGTTGCCGAGGTGTTTCCTCGACTCACTCACAGTTATTTTAGCCAACTTGTTGTGGCAACGTCTGGCAAATAAAAATGAAAACATCACACAAGTCGCATGTAAAAATAAATTAATACGTATTTGAATAAGTGTATATACAAGTATATATATATATACGATGTATATGTGATATATAATTCTTGTTGCTCTTGTTATTGTTTCTGCAGTACAATAATTACGATATTATCCTAAATAGTTGGCACGTGCTGTATTCAAGCATATACTCGTACACACTACAGACTTTTTTGTTTGTATACATTCTAAATAGTTCGAGTTTTTGCAACCATGTCTGTATTTGTTTTGCATTTTTCTGCCAGCCGATGGGTGGTCCAGTGGCATTTTGCTTTTGACTGCGCAGCAATGTTTGTAAACAACTTTTGTAACAATTTTTTACAACATTGTTTGTATAAAAAATAGCATGGCGTACAATGAACATCTAAGAGTAACGCAAAATGTTCCAGTATTTCAATATACATATTCACAATATAAACAATAAATGCATAATAAACAATGGAAAGGAGTAAATGAAAATTAACCAGCAACAAATCATCATCCTTAAACGCATATTAAAAGAACTTCTTTAATAAGTGATATCTATTTGTAATAGAAGCGATCGGCATAGATTATTATTATCCTTTTAAACGACAATGTTTTTCATATGACAATCTTGTTTCCCTCTTCTGAAAAACGTTTTTGTGCCTAAAGATATGGATTCGAAACTATATAGTAAGAGGGTTATGAAATGTCTCTTCCTCGCCTGCGAATTATTGGTTTTGAACTGGGCAAGCGTCTAGCATGGCCATATTTTCTCGAAATGCAAACAATTAAACACCAATCTGAGAAAGGTACACAGTCCCCCATTCAAAGGTGCGCCTTGCAAATAAAGTACAAGGCAATCGTAAAGTTGGTATGGACCTATGGCATTCAACTATGGGCGACAACCAATAACTCAAACGTGGAGGAATTGCAGCGCTTCCAACCTAAAACATTTAGGATGATTACGGGAGCTTTCTACTACATACGAAACATTCCCAAAGAGCTCAAGATATTGAATATTTTCCGGATCAGCAAGTCCGAAGGATCTTGACCGAAGATGTTTGAAGAGACAGCATACACTGGTCCTGCTGTTCTGTAAAAAATAACTTTTCTTCAATTAAGTATTTTCAATATGATTTCCTATTAAAGGCCGATCTTAAATAAAGCTACAATGAACAAAAATAGATTAAATTAATAAATGAAAATTGTCGTTTTATGAAATGATCTTTGTTTTTAAACTCGTAATCATAATCATAGCTTTAGTTAAGATAATGTTCAAGCAACTTATGAAAATGTTCATTTATATCCAAATTCTATATAAAATCTAGTTCCAGTACAAATAAATTATAAAACTCTCGCTCAAGCGATTGCAATGTTGGAGTCACGGGGGAATAAATGTTTAAAGGATTGTGTTGGGTCAGAACAAGGTAATCAGATCTTATGTAGAAATACATAAAAATCCACAGGCCTGCACACAAATGTGTGTGTACGAGTATTCTGTATTCTGTATGTATTTCCTTAAGTGCGTTTCCCCAAAGTGTACCCCTGGCGGCAGTGTCGGGAAAAAAAGAAGAAAAACCAAAATGAAATGCCACGTAGAGCACGCGTGAGCCAGCAAAGATTTGCTATGGATTATATAGGCAGACTGCTCAGTTTACTAATTGCTTCCGTTTGCGTTGCGCTGTTGCCGTCCTGCTGCTGTTGTTGTTGTTGTTGTTGCTGTAGACGGCTGAAGTTTTTAGGGGTCTACAGATTCATTTTAATTGCATTTCTTTTAACGGTAGCATCACTAGAGGGGCATATACTATAGAAGGCATATACACATACGTACGTTTGGTTACTCTTGCCAGCCTGTCAGTCGGGGCGTCGCGTCCGTCTGACGACGTCAATAACATTCACGAACATCATGTATGTGTGAGACGGCGTGTGTGTGTGTGTGTGTATACCTTGTGGTTGTGCTAAACGAAAATCAAAGGAAACATATTTTCATTCCACCAGAGATCAGTTTCGACATGCAGTTTCTTCTCTGTGTGTCTAGCCGCTGGCTTTATAGAAGTTATAGCTGGGAGATACAAACACAGATACACACACACACTCATACACACACATGCCAATAAGCAACATGGCCGGGCACTATAATGAAATCAACTAACTACAGGGCACTTGAGTTTTACGCATCGCCCTCTGTGTGCATTGCCAGGCCGTTTTAGGAATTAGAGTCTGTGAGCTGCTGTTGCTGACAAAAGGAAGCTGCAAAGGATGTGCACACTTGAGTCGGCTAGGTAGCCATCCAAGCCAATCGACAAGCTGTGCATTCATTTGTTGAAATAGTATATTTCTCAACATATTAAAAAAAAAGATGTAGTATTTTGTTTATTCATTGACCTTTTTGGCACAAATTCGACGCTTTGTTTGTTTGTAAATCGTAAAACACATGTTCATTTGTGGATATGCATGTGTGTCTGTTTGTGTATATGGACTACATAATTTCCAATAAAAAATGTACACTTCTGGCGACATGAGTAAATACCTATGTAAATGTACATAAGAAATATATAAGGACAACAGCTGATTGGATTTATAAATACATGAGAAAACATAAATATATACTATGTATAGTATGTATGTCGCTGTTGAGGAGGTGAACCAAATGAAATATTTCCCAACAACAGCTGAGAGTTTATTTTAGAACGATACGTCACGGTTCGAGGGAAACGAACAGCTGGTGGGTACGAGTACCTGCATTTAAATAATAATAATTAGTAGCTGACTTATTAGTCATCAACTGCTGAAGTATGCTTCATTCCTAAAATTTGTTTCTTTGTACAGTTTTTATTTTGTTCCTGATAGACTTAAGAACGAACCAATTATAGATCTAGTATGTAATACTCATTTAGATGCATAGTCCGTTAGGTCTTAAGCTTTGAATGTGAAACTTTTTTCTTCACAAAGGGCACATCTACTATATTTAAAAAATGAATGAACGAATTCAATATCCAATGCAACAAAAACGGAAAAAAAAAGATTAATTTTTCAGCATTATAATGGTGCTGCATAGATAAGGGAGTTAAGCATAAAAAACTTGACAATTCTATGAGGTATAGAAAAATGTATAAGAAAAATGTAACTAAATAGCAACAAATCTTTGAAACAAACCACAACTCTCATAATTACAATAGTACTTTACAGGATGTTTTTTTTAAACTATAGCCTACTTAGCTTAGAATATAAACTCAGCAAAAATGTATTCATCGCAAGCAAATCTCAATAGACAAACATTTTATTACTGCATTCGCATTGATTTTTTTTCCCAAGAAATGTTAAAAGCTGCACTTTATACTCAACTCTTTGTACTTTACTTTGTCTGTGATAAGCCGTTGAATCCCATAGGCGCACTCCCACGAGCTTTATGCGTGAAATCAAATGCTGTCAATGCTCAGTTCAAAGCCCGTCTCGATTTAGAGACAAAAGCCATGACAACCGACAACTGTCGCATTTCATTTGCTTACAAGATTTATTGTATCCTTTCAACTTTAAACTCGGCTCGGCTCGGCTCTGCTCTGCTCTGCTCTACTGTTTGTCATCTGCTGCGTCTGTTGCGTCTTCAGTGTCTCCTCAGTCTTCTCTCTTCTGTGGCTGCCCCGGCTCGTTGGCTTCGCTAGCAATGCCCATGCCAAGTTGGACTCATGCAAAGTGTTTGTTGCCACATGCGGGTGACACATCAACATGTGCGCTGCCTTGAACACAGCTCTGATGGCGACATACTCGTACAACTCTTTTGCTCTGGTCTGGTCTTGTCTGGTTTGGTTTGTTTTCGCCCCGACCCTGAGCTGCCTGCCGCATGCCTCTACCGCAATGCAGGAGGTTGCCACCGACGCGTGTGCATTGAACTGCGCGTCATAAATCGTTCCTTAGAAGCGAATAAAAAATACTAAGTCGCTTGCAAATGAAGTTTTGGATCGCATGACTGGGAATTGTTTAGCTGGAACTGTTGAAGCTTTAAATAATTGCTACATTGATTTGTTTAGTTTAGAACAAAAACAAAATGAAAATGTAATTCTTTTAATACATACGCTCTCGTTTACGCTTCGTGTCTTTCACAGGAAATTTTTGTACCTGTTGTTTGCGCACGCAAAATGAAATTTCTTCCTAAGGTGAGTGTGAAGAAAAAATAATTATTTTTATATGCTCGTCCCTTCCGGTTGCTAGCTTTTATTGGACACACACACACACACACACACACACACAAATATGTCCGTCGCCATTTTGAAAACTTTTTTCTCTTTTTTATGAGCCCAAAGGCAACGGCAACGGCAACAAGGCTTTCAGCTGGAACGTAGCACGTGCCACGGATTATAGGCTTGTACGCGGGAGTGTGTCTTTTCGTAAGTGTGTGTGTGTGTGTGCGTATGTATGTGTGTCTGTGCGTCTACAAAGCAAATATTTACACTCAATGAAACATAATAAAGACATTAAAAAAATATTGTCTTATATACATATATAGAAGCAAGTGAAGATACTTCCGAGGGCGGGCGGAACATGCAGAGTCGGCCAACTTGCATATACGAGAATGTATTTGTGCGATACTTTCCTCTATTGTTCTTTGAGTTGCCAATTTCCGTTAGCCTGCCGAGCTATGCATCATCTATTCATTGGCGAACCGTCAGATAAACTAGCCATAACACATCCGCTGAGCTTCCCACCATCCTGGCATTAAGCTTACGCATGCATGTAGATAGATAAATAAACACAAAGTCTGGCAGGTAGACTTTGGCATAACTTTGATTGATATGCCACATAATTGTAATGTGCTCAGTATAAATAGTTCATGCTGAAAATTGATTATCTGCTGCCCACACGATACGCCCACAGCATATGCATATTGCAAAATTTAAATATGCATTACAGCCTCGATTTATAAGTTGCCCACGCAATACGGAAATAGTTATTTTTTGACGTTTTTAAAACAAGACTTTAAAGCATTTACAGTAAAACTTAAAAGACGACGTGGCTGTTAATCCCTACAGCTAATGTTGTTAGTTGGTTGATAATTGGTGTAGACAAGATAATTACTACGACTATGTAAGTGTTAGTGGCTAGTGGAACTTTTATCATAATCATTATCATAATAGTTGTCTTTGTGTGGAAAACATTCTTCTTTAAGATAAAGAAAGTACTTGTACTCTATCGCTTGATCTTTGTAACTTTTGAAATAAATACTCAGAATTTCTCTAATTCCATTTCACCTGAAACCACTACCCACTTAAAACACTTGTAAACCGAAAAAATATCCTTTCATACTACCAGCAGAATTCCAAACTTGAAGAAGATATGCTCAGATATTTTCTATCAAAGCGAACAACCTTTAAGTCCTTTTCAAACTTAAATATATTTTCTTTTCGATGTTACCAGAATATGATAGAATCACGAAACAAATAAGATATACATCTAAGTGTGAACGCATTTTATTTTTATTCCAATAAAATATAATTGGTTATATAATTTTTCAGCAATTGTTTATGGTTTTCTTATAAATTATGGCATATTTTAATTTAACTCGCTAAGTGAGGTTAAACTGTCTATTGTAAGTTGAATAACCCCCCAATAAGTGGCTAAAAGCAGATCTCAGCAAACAGCATAGGTGTCCATTCTCTATTATACTTTCTTAGTTCATATCCAAACTAATTGATCTGCCTTCTAAGAATTTGAGCATTTTTATCATAGATTTACAAAATATAACCTTGAAGTTGTTGTTTTGGTTCAATAAAAAGCAATTCGATCCATGATGCACTGTTCGAAATGCAATATATGCAAATATTTTATAATGTTTTAAAATCGATTTCATAATTAAAGTCATTGCTTGTCATTTAAATGGTCCATAAGTCTTCCAACAATTAGTTATACTTGTATATAAAAGGCATATATATACTCACATCCCCTGGCCACTTTTATCAATGAATTTTGCACTCATGAATGAAGAACAATAAGCCCCGAACTAACCTTGAATGTGTTGAAACCAAAACCGAAACCGAGGCAGCAGCAGCAGGGCAACAGCATCTATGTCAATTTTAATTTCCATGAAAACCTTTTACTGTTCATTCGTCCTTCCGAGAGCATTTGAATTAAATATTCAGCATAGAATTTGTCAGGCCAGTTCGCTAGTTTCTCAGCGCGCGTGTGTGTGGGTGTGTTTGTTAACTTTTTGTTTTTTAACTGAAAAGTGAAAACGTGTCAGTCTATGGCCAACTTTGGCAAACTGGAGCACTCAAGCTGTCAACCATTAAGTCAGAGGCATCAACATATATAGTTGACTCGTACCTTTAAAAGTTTTTGTTAATTGAACGTTGACGAAGTGCTGGCGATTCTAAAACTATGGACTAAAACTTTGCTAGTGTTGACTACTAAATAATTTGCGGCATATTTCGTGGATATTTCAACGCTAAATCAATTGTGAATCACTGTAGTCAAGAAAGTAATGACCATTGTCATGGGAACTATGTGAATGGCACCGTCTCACAAAGCTCATTGGATGAGAAAGAAGTTCTCGGAAAAATTATTTGGACGATCCTGTCACTAGTCACAGTTTTTCGTGCTGTTAGTGTCGTCGGTGGCCGCCTTGGCACCAATGTGCTTCATCTTATCATTCATGCGAACAGTGAAATGCTTTCACAGTTGCTCACTTCAACCTCATGCCTTTCCTCTACCTGCACACGGTACGCCTCCTCCTCCCTCCCCCCATCTTATACACACCGCCCCACACGTGTTACGGCAGCATTATTCAAGTTGACAGACAGCACAGGGGCTGCCGGAACAGCTCCTGCGTGGGCGGCAGCATCGAGCAAAATTGATTAGATTAGGCAACGAAACGAAGCGAACAGTATTTGAACAGAAGACGGTGGCGGCGGTGCCGCCGATGGAGTGATGGAGGGTGGGGTTGCTTAGTGGGCGGCTGGCGAGTCCAATGCGTATCGCATTGTTTTGGAGGGGATGATGCTGTGGCTGCGTTTAGCGGCGCTTCAACTGTCTCTACAGTTGTCAACGTTTTGTCTCATTCAGCTACCTTTCTTCAAATGTCCCCAGCCCAGCCCTCTCCAGACCTCCGCTCCGCTCCCTGTAGCGTTCCGTGCTTGTCGCATAAATATTTATTTGATGCTGCGCTAAATTTCTTTTCCGTTGGCTGCCAAAAAAGACAAGAGATAGAAATATAATGAGTGGGGTTGTGGGGCTCTCAGCATCGACTGGTTTGCGGGTGTCCTTAATCCGACTTCTAATCACATTTAAATTGCACTCAAAGCGACGTGCGATGCCTTGTCTTTTACAAGTATACGTACGAGGATATCATTTGAAATCGGGCACCATTTCCTTTATTGCCTGTCTCAGTGTGTCTCTGCGTTTGTGGCTCTGAGTGTGGGTGTGTGGCTTTTATTTTTATTAATAATTGAGAGAGTTTAAGCGCTTTTAAGACAAGCGATTGAAATGCAATTAGGTCATGCTAATGCGCAGCAGTCAGGAAGATACAAACCCCATTCGGCCATCAAATTGGAGCGCTCAGCTCTCAACTCAATTTACAAAGCTAATTACGTGCTGGCCTAATTGATTTTGACTCATTTTACGTTTGTTTTTGTTTCTGCTCCTTACATGTGCGTGACAAGTTTGGCAAAATTAATTGGGATTGATTCTGTAGATCAAGTCTTTTACATAAATAGATGGAAAATGTATTGGTATTTAAATGAAATAGAACCTAGGCTGTGTGTTAAAAAAATCGACTTACTCGAATATTAAACGGCATGTAAAATAGCCTATATGGCGGTATATACACATACACGTACATATGGACACCACTTCCAGCTGCCTAGAGCTCTTTGCAAGAGGTCTTCAACAACAACAACAACAACAAGTCCATGTACACACGAATCGTTTATAATTGCTGTTTTGAGCAACAGCATGAACATGAACTACAACAACAGGACAAAGCATAGCTATAACACCGATATAGTTAACAATCGCTAAATTGAACTCGAAATTGAAATATAATGTGTCCTCCACAGCGCTCCATGATTAAAAGCATTTTCTTAAAAAAACAAATTAATAATTTGTTTGTATGACAACATTTATTATACCCTGTACCCGTAGGGTAAAAAGGGTATATTAGGTTTGTGCAAAGTATGTAACATACAGAAGGAAGCATCTCCGACCCCATAAAGTATATATATTCTTGATCAGCATGACGAGAGAAATCGATCTAGACATGTCCGTCCGTCTGTCCGTCCGTCTGGATGAACGCGAGGATCTCAGAAACTATAAAAGCTAGAATAACCAAAGTTGGCATCCAGATTCTCCTAGGCCCGAGTAAGGACGAGTTTATTTTATTTTTTGGAATTTTCCCCCCCTTCCCCCGCTACAGAATTTCGTCAATAGCGACTTTGCACACATAATTTATATATAATTTTATATTTATAATTTATATAAAATTTTATTCAATTCGGTCAATTCTAAGAAAAGTTATTAGCGAAACAAATTCTCGCCAGTACAACCCCTCCAAACTGCAGCAACAAGTTCGCTCTTCTTCTTCCTCTTTTTGCTGCTGCTATGGGCGCATATAACTCAGTGACGGAAGTTTCCTGGGTACAGGGTATTACACTGTCGGGCTTGCTCGATTGTAGCGTTCTGTCTTGTTTAAATTACAACAAATAGGTATTTTCCAATCTATTAAGTTATTTTATTTAACTCGTTTATTTATTTTATTTTTATTTATTTATTTATTACAAACCAATCCATTTGGTACAGATATTTTACTCGTTTGTCCTACACATCGCTCTTTTAATGATTGATTTAGTTGCGACACTTTAACAACTTGTTTTGTGAACGTTTAAATCTTTGAATTTCAGAAAGCATTTGAACTTATCCATCTACATTTTAAGTATATGTATGTACATACATATATACTAAATAAATCATCTATCAATAATGAAATTCCGTATGTTGAAGTAACACTGTTGGAACAGATACTTGTACGAATGGTTGGGAGGCAAAAATGTTGAAATATTGCTCTGCTCGCACCAAAGATGAGAAGAGGCAAAGATTTGAATGAAATTTATGAAAATTACCTACGCAACGCTTGCAACAACAACAACAACAAGAACAACTACATACA